TACTGCTTTGGTGGCATCCCATAAATTCTGGTGTGTTGTGTTTTCATTTTATTTGGGTTGAGTGTCAATTAGATTCATGTGCCCTTCAGATCATCTCCATCCCAGTTAAGCCTAGAGGAGAAAGAACATGGAGAAAGGTTCTTGGGAGCTTTTTATGACATCACTTCTACTCAAATTCCATTGGTTAGAACTCAGTCACATGGCTTCACCTAATGGTATGGGAAGCTGGGACATGTAGTCTAGCTTTTTGCCTGGAAAGAAGAGGAAAATGTATTTGGACAAACAGCCAGCAATCTCTTTCTATTTTCTGGAAGAGCTTGTATAAGATAAGAAATACTTGAATCATGGGTATACAGTAGAAATTGTAAAGTTATCGGGGGCCTGCTTTTTTTCTTTGGGGGAAATTTGTAACTGCTGATTCAATTTAATGGATACATGTTCGTTTAGATTTTCTATTACTTCTTGAGTCACTTTTTGTAAGTCATTTTTTAGGTATATAATAATTTAGTATAAGCTTTAAGATATTAGCATAAATTTGTTAAAAGCATTTTCTTATTTTAATCTCTGCTATAACTATGTCCATTTTTCATTTTTAATATTGTTTGCTTATGCCTTCTTTTAATTTGGTTAATCTTAGTGGAGATTTGTCATTTTATTAGTCTTCACCAAAAATCTTAATTTGCATTTCATTAATTTCTGTTCTTTAATTCCTTCCTCTACCTCATTTGGGCTTATTTTGCTTGCTAGTCCTTTTCAACTTATAATTTGAATGGCAAGCTCATTATTTTTCAGATTTCTTTTCTAATCTATGTATTTAGGGTCATACATTTCCCTTGAATTTGGTTCCAGCATTGTTGCTGCAAGTATTTATACAGAGTGCTTTCATTATTAATTAGTTCTATGCATTTCCATTGATTTCTTCTTTAATTCATGAGTTATTTACATGTGTTTATAAATATTCGCAAATATGGAAGCTATAAATCTTTTACAAGAAAATCTTCATGATCTAGGTTAGGCAAAGAGTTCTCAGATAGGTCCCCATAGTACAATCCATAGAAGAAAAAAGTTGATAAATTGGACGTGAACAAAATTTAAACGTTTTGCTCTGTGAAAGACACTATTAAGAGAATTGGTAAGACAAGTCACAGACTGGGAGAAAATATCTCCAAATCACATATCTGACCAAGGACTTGTATCCAGAATGTATGAAGAATTCTAAAAAATTAGCAAAGATTTAAACACATACTTCACTAAAGAAGCTATACAGATGATAAATAAGCACATGGCAAGATGCTCATTATTCACTAAGGAAATGAAAATAATTAAAACCACAATGAAATGCCACTGCACATGTATTACTTAGAATGGCTAAAATAATACTGACAATATCAAGTGCTGGTGATGATACAGAGAAACTGGAACTATAATATATTGCTGGTGGGAGGGCAAGACAGTACAGCCACTCTGGAAAGCAGTTTGGACAGTGTCTCAAATTTAAATACTTACTTGTACTTGCTACCCGACATTACTGAAATAAAAACTCATATTTAAACAAATACCTAATGAAAGTATATAGTAGCTCTAGCCCTACCTGGTTTGGCTCAATGGATAGAGCGTCGGCCTATGGACTGAAGGGTCTCAGGTTCGATTCGGTCAAGGGCATGTACCTTGGTTGCGGCACATCCCAGTAGCGGGTGTGCAGGAGGCAGCTGATCGATGTTTCTCTCTATCCCTCTCCTTTCCTCTCTGTAAAAAATTATATATATATATATATTTTTAAAAAGTGCCCTCTCTGAGCCATAGGGGAGCTGGCTTATACCAACACAGGTCCTGTCCCTGGTCCCTGAGTGTTCCATCCTCATGCAAATGAGGACTCCAAATTTTTGTGATTCAATTGGCCCAAAGGCACTATTCCGATTGATCAAAATGGAGCTGCTCTGATTGGTCAATAAAGAAGCTGATGGGATATTGCTGTGCAGTTCTGATTGGGTTGGGAAAGCCTCAGTCCTGTTGGTCGAAATAGGATTCCAAGGGCTGGCTCAGATAGCAGCATGGTACAGGCAGGCAGCTGGGAGCCACTGCTGGCAGT